AGTATAATATATATATATATATATATATATAAATATATATATAGGGCTCGGAAACATGAACGGTCGAATAACCGGTCGTATGTTAATACACGGTGGTGATATTCCATGACACCATCCTTGGCATGGGCACCCTGACGGAACGTCCAAGGGAAACTCTTATCAGTTCAGTCTAACCAGGGTCGAAAGGATTGCCTGGACCGACAACGAAAGGAGAGATTCCATCGACGTCGATCTAGGGCCCGGGCTGAGGGACGATCCTCGAATATTGATTACGCTGTCCGAGCAACTTCAATGCTAGTCTGAATACCTGATTCACGGCAGAGCGCTTGTATCCGCGACCATCTTTCTCGTTTGGAGCGAGCGTGCTCTAAAAATCGTAACTCAAATAGCCTCTCGAAGGAGATGCGAATATTTTGATAGTAAAAAGTAACGTCAAGATATTCGTGGAACTTACAAACGAGTGATAAGAATGATGAATACTTTAATAGTTATTTAAACTAATGGATGTTGTAACATATCAATAAAACTGAAATGGTGCTACTATGTTTTTAATAGATTTCTTAATGTTACTAAGTTTTTAATTAAGTTGAGAGATAATTAATAATAAACATAGTTATCGTTGAAATTTTAAAATAAGTGCAAGTGTTGGCTGCAAGTATACTCGGAATAATAATCGATATTCCAGCATTACGAGATGAATGGACAATGGACAAAAACAATGCTTTAAATATTTGATTTTTGGAACAATCTTTGACGACAACATGGACCTTATTATACGCACCGTACAAAGTTTCGTGATGCAAAAAGAAGAAGACGGTACGAGAAATTTCAAACTTGTGTCTACCATATCTAGAAATACTTTTACGAGTGGGCGAGTCATGGCGCTTGTGCTCTTTGACATCGATAGCTCTTTACACAGACTTTCACAGATAATTACAAATTCTCGTTATGGAAATTTTGATCTGCCCGTCTGACTCAACCATTCGTACACTTTATCTATGAACTCCTTTCTCGTAATCGCTTAACGAATGGCCAGATTATTGGTGTCGGAAAGCAATTTTGAAAATTGTATCTCTGTCCTTCCTTATATATGTTAGCTATATTGCGCGCAGGCCGAGTACTGTTATACTTTATGACGATAACGAACAGTGCCTAGAGTACATTAACGCGTGAGAAATAAATTAACTAATAAGATAATACAAAAGCAAGTCTCTAACATATTCTTGTTATGCAGACTTTCGTCAATCAGTCCGTAGGCAGAACGGAGCCTTTTTTCGGTCTTCGGCTGTAGGGTGATTGGTAATCTGGTAGTGGTAAAGGGCTACACACAGAGGATAAACACTAGACAAAATACACGATACCCCCGAAGTGCCTTCGCGGCTTCTTCCACCTAAGCCGCATACATAATCGATAATCACTTTTTCAGTGTCGAACAAAGGAAGAAGACAGAAAAAACTTCAGCTTTAAAGAATTCATGTATATAAAAATGTATATAAAAATGTATATAAAATGTATATAACATGTATATAAAACAGGTATATAAAAATAAATCTTTTCATAAATTACATTCAACTTGTTTTTTTTTAGAATTTTTTTCATATATACTGCAAGTAATATTATTTTAACTAACTTTATATGAAATGTAATTCTATATTCTTTACAATTATTAGATCAAATATATATACTGAAATGTATCATCTTATGCAAATTTTCTATCTTTAATGATGAGTCCTTTAGTTTAATAATAAGTAATAGTTTTTCTTTCAGCGTATAAAGCTAAACATAAATCTCATTAAACACAAATGTACTTATTTAATTAATATAGTTTGATCTTAATAATTTTAGTTGTAGATATATATTTAAAATTTCAACATTAAGAGAGGCAATATTAATATTTAATGGAAAACCTTTGATTGACAATGATTGTAAAATGATCTTCGATATAATTGGCATTCGGAGGGGGGAAAGGGGTGAAACACTAGGAAAGGATGGTTAGAGGTTTGCAGGGTGTCACCCACCGGGGGCTCTCCTGATATTTCAGCTGTCACGGATGTGGATTCATGACGATTCGATCAAATTTTTGTAGCGTTCAATGGTCGCTCACGATGGGGAAAACATCAATTTAATAAATAATTAATCGTAGTATCTCAATGTAAATAATAATTGCGACATATAACATCCGTTCGCGAACCAATAGTTTCGACATGTTGTGACATGTTTAATCAACAAATAATTTTTATTGTATTGCAATTCTATTGTATTGTATAAAATAACAATATCGATATGACTATGACGATTTCTGAATTTATAAACTATTTTAAGTCACTACTTTCCCGACTTTGTTTATTATCAATTTATATAGATGAAAACGGGAAAATGCAGATTTTTCTATAATATCAGATTTACTATTTTGCATGGTTTATATTGTATATGTATTTATTAAACGTGTATTTCGTAAAACATAATTTATGTTACGCTTCACAACAAATTAAAAACAAGTTATATTTATTCAAAGCTGAAAACATATTTCATTTAATTTTGCCTCGTTTGTGAAATTATTGGTGCGCGTCCATTGTGCACGCATATGCAAAGATTTTATATATATATCTTTTTCATGTACACACATATATATATATATATATATATATATAATAATATATAATATATGTATATATACGTATACCATATTATACATACATACATACATATATGAGAGAAAGATATAATAAATAAATATGAGAAAACATATACCCCATCGTAAACTGTTACCACAGATTGAAACGCGCAAGTTACATAATAATATTCATAACTCGATAACCGCGTGCAGCGTGACACGATATATTGTATTTTTGCACATTAAATTCATCAGTCCTGTAAACTGCAATTTTGACATTAATAACGCTTTTTAGGACGTTCACTGCACACGTCGAAGACAAATTCACGGCGTGTCGTATCAAAAGGAACAAAAGTGCTCAACTAAACACGATGATACGCATGTTTCTGGCTAACGATAAAAACGAGAAAAGTAATGCGCGGTCGCATGAAAGTCGTAAAAAGGCCAAACTATGACACGCAGCTATGCTATTTTATCTTCATTAAATGTCATATGTGTAACGTTTACGATCGACCGAGTCGTTGCCCGCGTTTATATTCCTCTCTAAAGCATTAATGCAAAAGAGAAAAAAAGAAAAAAAGAGACACCTCGTACGTTACAGTAATTTTATAAACAAATGGCAAGTTATCGGTCGCTCGTATACGTTACTCTCGCTTATCTTATGAAAGTAAGAGACTAAGTGAATTCTAATTCGAATTTTAATCCATCCGGGTGGAAATGATCGATCTTACCTTTCCGTGTACTCGTCCATGTGGGCGTAGCTCTGTACGCTGTTCTCCTCGACGAGGAATTTCACCCGTTGGTAAAAGGACGCTGTGACGCTGGGTGGTTGTTTTCGAAGGAGAACGTCCACAGGATTATTACTAGCAAGGCACATGATATGTTCTGAACAAGCTTCGTGCGAGCAGCACTCGCTGTCAGAGCAGTCCATCATGCCATCTGAGAAAAGTGATCTATTAGATACATATTCGAGTACGTCTCCTTCTCAATGAATTCTATGTCTTAAACGATGTCTTATTTTTCGGGCACTTCTGTACTTTTATAAGTTTTAATAAAAGATTTGAAACAATCGAAATTGTAATTTGCATGTTGGTGTATATTTATTATATTTTAATGTTATCTTGAATATGTTCATGTTTTCCTGCCACAGTAATACTATCTCAGTAAATTTCCTTCCTGACCTCGCAAGAATAATATCCATTAGATACAGATGAACAATGGCATGTCATTAATCAGCGTTGATTTAACGGTGGGTTAGTTGATGACTTACCTTCGTCATTGTCAACGTAATCATTACATTCCAATTCGAGTCGTATGCTGCAATCTCTACCGGCCCATCCGGTGGAACAATCGCAACTGTATTCGCCGTCCTGCAGAGTGCACAGTCCGTGGCGACTGCATCCATTTTCGCATCCAGCTATTTAAAAGAGAAAACAGACACCATATCCAATAATTGCAGTCGACTAATTGAATTATTGAAAAATGATATTGCGCCATTTCGTATCGGGAAACTTATTATCGATGATAAAATATATACTCCGGCAAAGTTAAAGCACCGCATTTATTATTAGAACATAATCTCCCATTTTACGTACGTAATGTGCAGTGTCTTCCGTTCCATCCTTGACTGCACACGCAGGTTCCATTTTTGCACTGACCATGCTCGGCACAACGCGAATCGCATGGCTTTTGATCACACTTCGTTCCGGTCCAATCGTCATGGCATCTATAAAAAAAAATACACTTCGTATCTTACAAAATCTTCTAACGCGAAATTATTAAATAAGAGCAATGGGTATTCACATGGAAAAACGTTTTGATTTTGTTACATTAATCGTGCGGCCATCGTACCTCGTGATATCAATACGCAAATGTTTCTAACAGGATTCGTTATGTTAAACGAAGGTAGAGCCGAACGTAAAATAATTTCTCGCCGTTTATACCAGCTGCAATAAAAAATGCGAGTTTGAACTGAGTTCCGAAGTTGTTCTGCCGTAGTGAGGAACTTTTTGCACTTAGAGCCTCTTTTACGCCAACTCTCGGGGATGGAGCAGGGGAAAGCGGTGGGTGGTAGACGAGAGGCGTCAGCTTTAGAATATGAGAAAGGAGATCCTCTCCCGCGTCCTTGATTCTGACAAAGGAAAGTAGGAAGGGACGAGGACGGTCCTTCGAGTTGTGATAAGTTGGCGCCTCGTAAGACAGAGCCTTTTTCTCGCAATTTTTCACCTTTTTAGCCTCAACTTTTGTGCCCGCGATCCCGGCGAGCAATTTACTCATTTTTAGGCCATTCTTCGCCCACATCTATCCCACAATATTTCAATGTCCCGACAAACCTCTTTCTCCTTTCCTCTCGGGCGGATTACTATTAAATGCTCCGCGACGTGCCTCCCTCGTGCATTCGTCGTTGAAAACTTTACGACGTTTCTCACTCTTCGACGTGGCATTACTCGGTAATCTATTCCAGTCGTAAAAGTTGCAAAAAGCTCGCACGTCACACTCTATGAAGCATAGAGAGCGCGTAAATGGCCGCCACGTCCGCACAATTCCGCAAATCTCCCGCATTAAACAATGATCTCGCGCGAGGTACGGGCGTCATATGGGAGAGAAACGAATCGA